TGCGGTTCCACCCCCCATCTCCTCGAATCCGTTTCACGCTTCGTGGCCCCATAGGGAGTTCCACGTAAGGCCCTGGTATCAGTACCCGCATGCGGTTTCACCCTCCATTCTGGCACACCCCTCACACGCGTCGTGGCCCCATAGGGAGCTCAACCTATACGGCCCCAGGGGCAGCGCCCGCATGGCGGTCCCGCCACATGTCGGCACAAGAATGGTACCCACAACTGTATACCGTTGGGCTTTTCGCCAAGCAATTGTTGTCTTTCGGCCTCTGGGGGCAATCGCAAAGCCCCAGGACCGTCATCAAACCAACTCAGGATTCAAAACAATTCCGGGGAGATGGTTTGAATCTCGAGGGCGTTCTCACGGATCCTCGGTGGTTTTCCAGGCCCGGGTTGTTTCGCAGCGTCTGCGCCTCGCCAATAAGGTTGCCCAAATGGCCCTCAACGGCCGCCGGAGAGCCGAGGTACGACCTGCATACTTCAAGGTGCTGGGCCGACCCTCAGTCTCTGGCGCCGCAATTTTCAGCCCTAGAGCGAATTTGGCAGGGTGTTCCGAAGCCCCGGGGCCTAAATATGGGGTCCAGGGCTCCAGTCGCGTTTTTGTTGTCGTTGTCCGTCGCAACGCGGCAGAAGCAATCCGCGCGCGCGCTCTAGTGAGCCGCGCTTTGGCAGGGACACAGTGTACGGCGACAAGAGAGGGATAGCAGGGCGGAGCGCGGCTGCGGATGGCGGAAGAGGAGGGAGGACACCCACAGCGCGAACAAATTCGACTGGAGCGGCCCGGAGGCCAGCCTGTGCTGACACTGCCTGGCGGTGGACGCCGGGCAGCATCGCGGCCACGCCCACGGGCTGATGCGCAGGCTGCGCTATGAAAGCAAAGACCAACTCGCACCAGAACAGGAGGAGGAACGGCGAGCGATCCCACGCAAGCGGGCGGCATCCAGGCGTTTGTCGAAGGCCCTGTGCGACAGGCTTTGCCGCTGGGGCGGGCTGGCGGGTACAAGAAGGCCCATGCCCGCAAGGTTGGGGCAGCAGTAGCGCGCGGCAGCAAAGTGCTACAAGAGCCCTGCTGGGCTGCTGAGACATGGGCTGTGGGGCTGCTGTGCTGCCAGGGGGGGGGGCAACATGTGCCAGAGACTGCTGAGCTACCGACGCCACCAGGCGAAAAGACGCACCAAACCCCGACTGTCAGGGCCAGGGCGGCGTCTGGGGCGGCTGAACACGCGGGAGCGGCAGCTGGGGCCACGCGATAGGGCCGCATGCAGAGGCGCCAAGCCAGCAAGGCGACCAGCAGGGCTGTCGGAGGCGGGGCAGCCGTGGAAGAGCACGCCAACAGGCGGCACGGTGACGCAAGTCGCGCGGGGAAGTCCGAGCGATGGCGGGAGTGGGAAGGATGGGCGCAGCACTGGACCCGGCGGGCGCACGCATCACAACCAGGCGACGCAAGACCATCCCGCCACAGGGCTGGCAAGGCGTTGCGCCCCGCGGCAGGCGCAGCGGGGCGGGGCGGAAGAGGGCGCCCTCCTGGCCGGTGCAAGCAACGCATCATGGAGGCCGCAGGGCCGCCGCGTCGCGAAGCCAGCGGGCGCGGGGACCAGCTGGGGCGGCGATGCAAGAGTCGGCGGCCAGAGAGGGGGCCCCGTGGATGCGCCAGCCTGGGGCCGCATGGCCCAGGCCCGCTGCGCGGCGGAAGTCAGGCGGCGCCAGGATGAGCGAGCCAGGGCGGAGGAAAGAAAGGCCCCGAGCTGGGGCGCGGGGGGGGATCCACCTGGGGGGGTGGGCGCCCCAGAAAGGGAAGAGGGACGGACGCCGCGCCGCCCAGGTGAGCAGCGGGCCCTCGGGAGAAACGCCTGATCGGCGCGAACACACGCAAAAAAAACGGGACCTACCCGGGGGGGCAGGCGCCGCGCAAGCTGTCTTTTCTGCCGCGCGTGCCAGGTGTGCGCAGGACGCCGAATTGAACGGCCAGGGGCTGAGGGCCACGCTTGGAGACGAGAGCCCCCGCGCGCGGGACTGATCTCCCTGTGGCCAGGATGCGCCGCGGGCCCTCTTGCCTCCCTGGGTTCCCCTCCGCGACAGTCTGCGCCTGCTGGTCTCGCAACTGCAGCAACGCGTCGCCCCGGTCGACGTCGACGCGCCGGTGTCGGCGAAAGGTTCTGGCGTCATAGCAGGGGGCGGGTCGTCCAAGAGCTGCCTGCAAAACCCACCGTATCCGCTGGGATTGCAGCGGCCCTTGCCCCGTGTCCCATGCCATCCCTCGCGCCGCGTGGCTGGTTCCAGCCTTCCAGGAAGGGCGTCCCGCAGGTGCCATTGAGGCGGTTGGCAAACTCTGGCTAGGTTTGCATGCGGTTCTCCCTGTAGCCCCACCGCGGCGCCTAGCGGATGTCGCAACAAGGCAACGAGGCACCTTGTAGAAGCTGTCGTATGGGTCGTTCCAGCTGCGGCGGCGGCTCGCGCGGCCCGACCCCCCGCGCGCGGTGGCTCCATAGGGGGCACCAGTGGCACAATTCGCATGTGGGCGTCATTTATTTTCCAGCATACCCCTCATGCGCTTCGTGGCCCCATAGGGAACTCCAAGTGAGGCCCCATTGGCGCAGTTCGCATGCGTCCCCCCCCTTTCGGCACGCCCCTCGCGCGCTTCGTGGCCCCATAAGGAGCTCCATCACCGACTCACAACTGCGTATGGTTGGGTCCTTCGCCAAGGTAAGTCGAACGAATGTTGGACAGTACCCTGGTCAATGCACACCCGGGCCAGTCGGTCTTTGCAAGATCCTGCAGGATCCTGCGCGCAACCCTGGGTCAATGCACCGCTGGCTCTGCAGAGCCTTGCAAGATACGGCGCACTGACTGGCCCCCATTTGCATTGACCACCGTTTCTTGAGTGCAGAGGGAGGAGGAGACGAGGAGGCGAGACGAAGAATCTGATGATGCTGATGATGAGACGGATGCGATGTTTTGACAGCAGCACTCACACCCTGGAAAGGTCCGCCTCCGAGAGCGAAAAGACTCCGAAGAAGAGGCGCTCTGCGTACACTAACCAGGGGAAATGCTGCACGCACGAGACGCGGTTCAAAACATATGTAGCATGTTTCCATTTCGCCGGAACCGATACCACTGAAACTCTGCCCCGACCCATGCGGCAGCCACATACAACACCGAACGAACGCAAAAGCAAGTGCCAAGAAGCACCGTATATCGCGAAATAAACTAGAGCGGCAAGGAATAATACGCAACGCCAGAGGAAACGTAACAAAAAAAAGAAACACACCGTGGTCATGAATAACAAGCTGCAAGCAGACTGCACACTGAAATGGCGGCCCTCTCCAGGATCATGAGTAAGATGGGCACGTAGCCAAGCGCAATCAGATAGATCAGGAACTCCCTCGCCGCCAGCTGGTCCAGACGAAAGAGCAGCCACCGAGCTCCGTCGCGTGGAACGCCTTGAACAACGTCGAGCCGCTTGCGAAGCTGCACGAAGGGTTCGGAAGATCGGCCAACGCCAGACCAGGCCACCAGCTGCTTCCACGCGCGCGCAGAACTTGGCTTCGGTGCTGACGTCTGCCTCATCGTGATGAGCAGAAACCATCTCGGCCCCGATGGTGTCGACTGCATCCACCGAAGAAGCACGTGAAGCAGCATTGGCAGCCACGGCCATCGAATCGCCTGCAGCATCAGAAGGAATGTGGAGCCAGACCCCAGCGTCAGGCTCGAAAGGAGAAGCATCAGCGCTCTTTCACAACAACGTGGCAAGAGGATAACACCACAGTGCTACAAGTGCAGCCTAGCCCATTACCGCCAAGGCCGACCGCCCTGCCCAAGCGGGCCCCGTTATTGTTAAGTCGGGCGTGTCCCCCTACAGGGGGATTGTCGACGAAAAATAAAAAGCACTCAAAAAGTACCCCCAAAATACCCCAAAGATGCCACACAAAATTCAAAACATAGTCCCCAGACTATGTTTTGACTGTTTTTGAGAATCCCCCCAGTAGAGGGACAGGCCCGACCTAACGCCACTGCCTGCGTTTTCCAGGCACCTGCGAGCCTTCGACGAGGGCCTGCTCGGCGGGCCGAGCGACGGCCTCAAGCCGCGCCACCTCCGCCGCCACGGACGCATCGGGAGGCGCCGCAATCGGGGCCCGAAGCAGTTGCCGCTCACCCTCCAACTCCTCCTCCTCCTCCTCGTCCTCCTACTCCTCATCCTCATCCACCTCCTACTCCTCCTCCTCCTCCTCCTCCTCCTCCTCCTCCTCCTCCAACTCCTCCTCCAGCCGCCGAGAGCTTCGCCCTTGAGCTCCACGATGAGGCTGTCTGCGGCGGCCCGCGCTCCAGCGTGGCCCCGCAGGACGAGGCGCCCCGCGTCCGAGGCGCCTACCGCTGCTGCCATCCCCTGGCGGACCTCCTCCAAGAACTTCAACACCGGACGCCCATGACGGGCCGGTTTGAGTCCAAGGGGCGCTCCCGCGCTCCAGCGTGGCCCCGCAGGACGAGGCGCCCCGCGTCCGAGGCGCCTCCCGCCGCCGTCCCCCGGCGGACCACCTCCAGAGACTTCAACACCAGACGCCCATGACGGGCTGGTTGGAGTCCAAGGGACGCGCCCGCGAGAGCAGCTCGAGCCAAAGTGGCTACGCTCAGGACTAGGAGGAGAAGGAGGAAGAGGAGGAGGAGGAGGAGGAGGAGGAGGACGAGGAGGGGGAGGAGGAGGAGGAGGAGGAGGAGGGGGGGAGGACGGGAGAGAAGAAGAAGGAGGAGGAAGAGGAGGAAGAGGAGGGGAGAAGGACGGGGGGAGGAGGAAAAAGAGGAGGGGGAGGAGGAGGACCTGGGAGGATTACCTGTGGCGTACCAATGTGCGAGAGCACCCGTGGCTATGCTACCCTGCTATTGGCCTCGGAGGAGGGGGATGAGGATGAGGAGAGAGGAGGAGAGACGAGGGAGGAGAGGGGAGGGAGGAGAGTGGAAGGAGAGAGGAAGGAGAAGAGGAGCAAGAGAAAAGGCCCTCAGGCTTCAGACCTGCACGGGCTCGGGAGAGCCCACCGAGGCCGCCTCGCCGCCCTCGTCGGCGGGAGCCACGTGAATGGAGTAGGGGCCCACCTGGTGCGGCGCTGGCTCCTGCGACCTCCTCTTCCCGCCTCCCTCCATCCCTCCCTCCTCCTTCTCCAACTCCCCCACCTCCTCCCGCCCACTTCCTCCCTCGCCCACCTCCTCCCTCCTTCTCCTCCTTCTCCTCCTCCTCCTCCTCCTCCTCCTCCTCCTCCTCTTGACGTTGTCATGTAGTCATGCTCATGGTCCTCCTCGTCCTCCTGCTCGTCCTCCTCATCCTCCTCCTCCTGCTCCTCCTCCTCCCTCCTCCTCCTGCCGCCCCCCTCCTCTCCCATCCTCCATCCAACTCCCTCCTTCGTTCTCCCTCTTCTCTCCTCTTCCCTCCTCCCTCCGCCCCTTTCCTTCTTTGCCTCCTCCTCCTCCTCCTCTTCCTCCTCCTCCTCCTCTTCCTCCTCCTCCTCCTCTTCCTCCTCCTTCTCCCGCCGCCATCTTTCTCAGTCTCCTCCTCCGCGAAGGCCCGTAGGGCCTGCAGGTAGGAGGCGCTGCGGCCCAAGACGCAGGCAGACAAAACGGGCATGCTGGGGCTCTGGGGAACCAGGCGGCGTGGGGGCCAGCCAATACCAGGCTCCTTCCGAGCAGGAGGGAGAGGAGGGCCACACTACCCATACAGGAGCGGTCGGAGGGGGGAGATGAGGATCCATGGGGGGCGTCTATCCGATGAGAGCTCGTTGTTCCCCAGCAAGGGTGACGAACCTGCCAGGGCCCACCGAAAAGGCGCCCCCCCCCCACCCAGCATCAACAAACCACAGGGCGAGGAGGAGGGCGAGGAGGAGGGCGAGGAGGCTGAGGCCGAGGAGGACAGAGGGGGAGGAGGACGAGGGGAGGAGGAGGAGGAGGAGGAGGAGGAGGAGGAGGAGGAGGAGAAGGAGAGGAGGAGGAGGAGCGAGGAGGAGCGAGGAGGGGGGCGGAAGGAGGAGGACGAGGAGGAGGAGGAGGAAGAGGAGGAGGAGGAGGAGGAGGAGGAGGGGGAGGAGGAGGAGGGAGAGGAGGGGGCGGAGGAGGAGGGGAGGAGAATGAGGAGGAGGAGGAGAAGGAGGCGGAGGAGGAAGACGAGGAGGAGGAGGAAGAGGAGGAGGAGGGGGGAGAAGAGGAACGGGCAATCGCCCCACTAATCGAATCGATAAGTCGCATCGGCGATCGAAATGAATGGGATCCGCGGAAATAGGCAGCCGAGTCGGGAAAAATCGAATCGGCAAAGATCGGCAGGCTCGTAGACCTCCATTAAGAGATCGGAGCCCAGATCGGAATCCGAAGCCGAATCGAATCGGAAGAATCGAAATGAGCACTGAACGGGTTACATGCCGAGTGGTACGAGTACACTGATGAGACGCAACCCGTCGCTGGATCGGTGAATGTTGATCCTGTCCTCTTAGCTATGCAGGCTGGTGCGCACGAGCGATGCTGCAACACACACGCGTGGTGGGGGGGGGGGGGCAAACTGCAAACGTGGGCGATCACCTGCGCCTCGTGAGGAGGCAGTCCCGTAAGATGTCACTCGGTGCCGCGGGCGAGAAGAGGCGGATGCGCAGACCGTCTGAAAAGGCGGGCAACGAAGAGGGGGAAAGTATCCCGCGACCACGGGGCCTGCGAGTGCCTCGCGACGGCCTGCGCGCCAGGGCAACCTGGCTTGAAGACTCATTCCAAAGATCTGGAAGATGAGGGAGCTTGGCGGAGATCGGGAGAACGTGGGGGAGGATGGGGGGAGGGGGATGAGGACACGGGGGGTGAGGCAGACACGGCGCCGAAGCGGGGGAGCCTGGGCCCCGCCCGTGCCGTTCCGCCACAGCGCCCCGTGGTTGATGCGGATGCGCCAGCGGCGCCCCTCCAGGTCGAGGCGGATCAGCTGCTCCACCTTGGCCAGCGTGCAACCTCCTCCGCCTCCTCCTCCTCCCTCCCTCCCTCCCTCCCCCCCTCCCTCCCATCCTGCTGCTGCTGCTGCTGCTGCTGCTGCTGCTGTTGCTGCTCCTGCTGCTGCTGCTGACGAGACACGTGAATCCAGCGGGTCCGCGAACAGCAGCAGGGCGCCAGACACTAAGGAAGCTCGCTGATGCTGCTCCTTCTTCTTCTTCTTCTTCTTCTTTCCACTTGCGTCGACCTCCTCCTCCTCCTCCTCCTCCTCCTCCTGCTAATCCTCCTCGTCCTCCTCCTCCTCCTCCTCCTCCTCCTCCTCCTCCTCTGTTTCCTTCCTCCTCGTCCCTCCTCTTCTCCCGTCCCTCCCTCCTTCTCCTCCTTCCCCTCCTTCTCCTCCTTCTCCAACTCCCCCACCCCTCCCGCCCCCTCCTCGCTCCTCCTCCTCGCTCCTCCTCCTCGCTCCTCCTCCTCCTCCTCCTCCTCCTTCTCCTCCTCCTCCTCATCATCATCCTCCTCATCCTCCTCCTCCTGCTCATGCTCCCTCGTGGCCGCCCACGGGCACCCCCTCTCTGAGATTGCCCTCGTGGACCCCATTGAGGCTCCGTTGGGTCTATCGGCGGTCCTCTCGGGACACCGTCTGGGCTTTCTTGCTGGAAGCCAGTCGGAGCCTCCTGGAGTCCCCTCATGGCTCCCTTGGGAGTCCCCAAACACAGCAAGGAGAGCCCCAAGACGCCTCAAGAGCCCCAAGATGGCTCAAGAACCCCAAGATGGCTCAAGAACCCCAAATAACCACAAGACCACAAGACGGCCCAATAGAGCGTCAATATAGCCCAAGAAGCCTCCAAGACGAATACAATACGGCCCAAGGATGGGCCGAAACCAGCCCCAATGGCCTGCATCAATGCTCCCCTCGCGCACCACCGCCCACCTCGTCCGTCCTGGGAGGCATATTCCAGGGTCGGCAGAGCCGGCCGCAAGGCCTTGGTATGAATTGGCCCTCTTGCAGGCTCGTAGGTCACGCAGAAGCGACTCGAGGAGCGCGGACCCAGCATATGTGATCTAAACGGGATCGTGGCCGTGGGAGCGCGGACCAAGTATAAGTTGTAAGAGGCCGTAGCCCTGGGAACGCGGATGTAGTATAAGTTACAGGGGATCGTGGCCCTGCGAGCGCGGACCCATATTAAGTTGAAAGGATTCGGAGCGCGGAGGCAATTCAATCCACTAGGATCGTGGCCGTGGACGCGCCGTGCAACCCTGCCTCGAGGCACGGGGTGGGCGTGTCCTCAGGTTCTTTGCTTAATACCTGGAGCCTCGATCCTCAATCCTGAGGAGTCTTTGAGAGGCCCGTGCCCAAAATTCCGAAATCTCTTGGGGCTTCCCGAGTGCCCTCTGGGGTTTCCGGTATCTTGTCGCATGACTTCTTCGGCCCCAAGAGGGCCCAAGAAACAGGCCGAGAGGGCCCCACGAGGCCCCCAAGACGGTCCAAGAGGGGCCCCACGTCGCCGAAACATCATTCCAAGACGCCTAAGATGGCCCAAAAGGCCTCCAAGACGCGCCAAGAAGCCTTTAAGTGGCCTCCCAAGAGGGCTCCAAGAGGCAAACATCATTGATGTGCCTTAGGTGTTTGAAGGATTGTGGCGTTCTCGCCTGTTCGGCTTTCCGACGCTCCAGGACGGCCCAAGAGGCCCCCAAGACGGCCCAAGAGCGCCCCAAGAGGCTCCAAGACCGCCCAGGAGGGCCCAAAGAAGGCCCCAAAAGGGGCCCAAGAGAGGGAACACGAGGCCCCCAGGAGGCCCCCCAAGAGGGCCCCAAGAGGGCAAAAAAGGGTCCCAAGATGCCCCCCAAGAGGCCGCAAGAGGCCCCCAAACGGCCTCCAAACTGCATCCAAGAGGTCCCTGAGAGGCCTGCCATGATATTCCAACGAACATCCAAGTGGCTCCATGCCAACAACCCAGGCACGGTGGCGGGATGGGCCGAATGCAATTCGACAGGCGCGATCGTGCCCCTGGAAGCACGGTTCACCCTCAGTGTGGTACAGAGGTTCGCGAGCCAGAAATCGTAGCGAACCCCCCATACGACGCCTTGAGGACCGTCAGGGGGACCATGGGGGGAGACTAACAGACGGGTGGGTAGGCACAAGTGCTGCATTCAATCTCTGGCGTCACAACAACAACACTGCAGCTAGTGAAACGCGATTGCTGACAAGCTTGAGGCATTGTGAGGCCCACGGGGGGCGGCGGACTGATGTTTGCTGTACCCTCACGCCTCCAGACCTTCACGAGAGGACCTTCCGTAGGCCTCGACCTCGTCAGTTGTCGAAGATTCGCTGGCCCAGTCCCAACATGGCACCAGGGGTAGTTTGCAAATTGAAAGAGGACCCTGGTCGGACGCTCTTTCCAGAACAGAAGCCTCCCGTAGTATTTCTGGCAAGGCCCGAGGAGATCTAGGAACGTGTCCCCTGGGAACATGCTTCACTCGACCAACATTCCAAACCCCACATTCCTACACCATTGTTTCAGCATGGATCGATCCGTGAGGGCCCCGAGGCCCGAAACCGTGCAACATCTCCCGCTGTGAAAAGTCGAGACGCCAGGATGTCAGGGATGGCCTCCAGACACTCCCCGACCCCTCCCCCAGGACCCTCTTCCCCCGGGACCCGTGCCTAGACCCCCGCTGTCATGACTCTTTCGTGGCGTGACCCCCCCAGAGGTCTGGACTCCTAAGCCCGATGAGGCCCAAAGGCCAATGCATGATAACAACATGAAAACCAGCCATGACTTTTGTAATGACCCGAGGGGGTCTGGGTTTTCTTCAGGGGGACCGAGACTACCCGACCCCTTGGCGCACCGATGGCCACCTCTGGGCCGGGGCGATTCGAAGATCGAGGATCGAGGTTCGAGGATCGAGAATTCGAGGATCGAGGTTCGAGGATCGAGCTTCGAGGATCGAGCTTCGAGGATCGAGCTACGAGGGTCGAAGTCCGAGGAACAGCTTCGAGGATCGAGGACCGAGCTGCGGATCGAGCGATGTTCTTTCCCGACCCCTTGGCGCGCCGCTGGCCACCTCTGGATGGGGGCCCGCCCCCGCGTGCTGTACGGACTGCGAGCGCAGGGTCGCCGCGGCCACCGACACCAGCGCCTCTGGCTCTATGCCGGCGCCCAGGTAGACGACCTCGCTGGCCGCCCGACGACGACGACGCAGAGGTTCGAGCTCGTCGAACAGAATTTCGGACCTTTGCATCGGTTTTTGGAGCTGTTCCTGTCACGGGGTGCCTTCGTCGAGATCGCCCCGAACGGCCGCTGGTGAGCCGAGTTATGTCCAGAAAGCGATAACGGCGACGACGGAGACGACGAATCTGAGATCCTGGAGTCGCAATTTTCAAGCAACGGGCGATTTGGCCGTGGTTTGGTCTCTGTGGCCCTCACGGATCGATCTGGCTCGGAAAATTGCAGCAGATAGATGGGGTCCAGGGCTTCCGTCGAGCGTTTGATGATGTTGCGCCTCCCAATCGTGAATCAGTCATGGCGGCAGATGCTGTGTTTTTTTTACTTCCAGGGGCCCCAAACGGGCCCCGCCACAGTCAGGGCATGATTCAGGATGAATTACACCAAAAAAAAACCCACTCAATGAATGAATTTCGATAAAAAAGATCGACGGGGAACCCGGGAACCCAAAACCCACCGAAATCGGCCCGGACCCAATAACCAAAAATCTGAGAACCCGGAACCTGGAACCCGGGAACCCAACGGGCTACCAAAATCGGCGGGAACCTTTTGCCAAATCTTTCAATTCCGGCTATGACCCCTTCAGTGCAAGCACTGATAAGGTAAAAAACAATCCTGGGGAATGGGTCGAAGCCTGGGAATCCACGTGGTGAGCAATCATGGCATCGGGGGCCTGGGGCTACGGCGACGGCGACGACGGCGGCGCTTACGATGACGGCGGCGCTGACGACGGCGGCGGCCACGGCGGCGGCGGCGGCGATGACGGCAACGACGATGACGACGGCGCTGGCGACGGCGGCGGCGACCGCCGTCGCGCTGGCTGGAGGGGAAGGAAACTGGAGCCATGACCAAGACTGAACGCGAAACGTCCTGGCGATCTTGGTCACCGTCGTCCTTGGTCAGCGTCAATTCGTGGACCATCCTTGCGAATGGGCGACGGCCGACATGAACCATGACGAAGATCGGCATCGACAACATCCTGCGACATCTTGCCCATGGTGACGGTGTTTCTTCCCCATGTCCCAAGGTGCAATTATTGTTATTGCCCAGACGCCTCCGCACCTCCTCCTCCACCCTCCTCCTCCTCCTCTTCCTCATATTCACTCATTCATACCCAGACTCACTCATACTCAGACTCACCCACATTCAGACCCACTCGTACTCAGACTCACTCATACTCAGACTTACTCATACTCGAACTCACTCACACTCAGACTCACTCTCACTCAGACTCACCTGCTCAAAATTATCATGCTCTGACCCGTTCATGTTTAGACTCTCTCGCACGCAGACGCTCGCAGCGGGAAAAATTGTGGGCGAGTAGATGCACACATGGGGATCCCTGCGTCGAAGAATTCCGTCGACTGGAGAAGCTGGCGATATCGACAACGACGAAGGGTTAGAAGAGATTTCTAGACCACGATGCTCGGCCTCTGGGGGCCCGCTTCGGGCACTGGGTCCGCCGCCAAATCGATCCGGAGTGCAACGCTAGACAGGATGCTTCGAGATCCGACGTCTCGCGAAAATTGCAAGATCGTCGAACAGATCGGCCAGAACCGTGGACCCCATCTTTCTAAAACAATTTTCGGAACAGATCGATCCATGAGGGCCCCGGGAAGAAACAATGCGACGCCAAGATCACATGGTGGACCCAGGGAGGATCTGGGGAACTACTTCGGGTGGACTCCGTCGCCGTCGCCGACGACGACGGCGCCGACGATGCCAGCGCCACGACGACGACGAAATCGCCGCCGCCCGACGACTGCGCCAGCGACGCCGGCGGAACCGGCGACGGCGGTGCTGGCGCCGGCGACGCCGGCGGCCTGCGATGGCAGCGGCGGCGCCGCCGACGGCGCCGCCGACGCCGCGACAGGCTGGCGGCGCCGGCGGTCCGGCTCGTGGGGGCGGCGCCGACGACGGCGCCGCCGCCGTCGCGTCGCGGCGGCGGCGGCGGACGGCGGCGGAGGACGGCGGCGGCGGGCGGCCTCGCCGCCGCCCGGGGGCTTCCGCCGCGTCGCGGCGGCGAGGCCAAGGGCGCCGAAGAAGTCGTCAGTGTAGCGCCACAGCGCCTCGGTGGGCCCCTCGTGGAGAACGTCTACCACGGAGAGCCCCTCGCGCCACACCTCGGCGGGGGGCAGCAGGAGGGCATGAGGGAGGGGCCCAATCCGGAAACATCATACACATGAAACTTGTCAGCCTAAACTTTGGGGAGCGCGATCTGTTTGGTTCCTGCGTTGTCGCCTGTATCAGGTTATAGCCGAGGTGCAGCAAGCAGCATGAAAGCGAACAATCCTCACTCGAAGATGTTCGACAAGGCGAGCTGAGGTTGGAAGTTCCGGGGCGTTCCCGTTGGTTCCGAGCGGTTCTGTACTCCCGGGATGCCATACAACGGCTGCGCCTCGCCACGGGCGTTGCGGGGGTGCTGGGATCGTCAGGAACGGCCGCCGGGGAGCCGAATTATGACCACAAACACATGTTTTTGTAGTTGTCGTTCCGCCACGACTCTTGCTTGATGAACAACCATGGCCATGGATGAACAAAACAACAGCGCATTATTTCTTCCAACCCATGGATAAGACCACAGCAAACAAAGGTTGACGTTTGTGATAAAACATAGACATCAACGTTTCGGACTGCATTTTAGGATCGCGATCTGCTACGGCCGTCAGAAATGGGTCCTCGAGTCGCGGCCGCTGGAGGGCACCCGAGGCAAAAAAACGCGAAGGGAACCAAGGAACACCTCCGAGAACCTGCAAGATCCAACGAGAACTCTTAAGGGCAACGGCAGGCGAGGACCAGTTCAGGGTGAGCCGAGGCCGCGCTAACGGCGATGTTGGTGAACGGCGATGTTGGGAGTCCGATGTTTGTGACACCGAGCTCGCGTAGAACAGATTGTAGGAAATCACGAACCACACTTTCCTACGTTTCAAATGTGCGAATAGATCAAACGAGAACAACACAGCGAGGTGTAGGAAAACACCAACCACCCCTTCCTACAATTGGCTTTCCTACTTCGCCGTTGTCTAACACACCGTTAGCGCGTCTACGGGTGAGAAACATCGAGCTGTAATGGGCGACACATCGCCGATAAATCGGCGATACGCCCCCTGGGCGAGGTGGGCTATCCGGCCCCTATCGGCAATGCATGGGCGATTGGGGGTCGACGCGTCCCCCCGTTAATCTATCACACTACACCAGAGAAACACTTGGTTCCGGGGAGATGGGGCATTTGGAAATGGGGCCGCAAACCGCAGCTGCAATAGTTCGCTGCGTGGAACTATTGCGCGCAACTATTGCAAAAGATTGCGCCCGCGTGCTCAACTATTGCATCACATTGCATGATGCATGACCAGGCGCAACTATTGCATCGTTGCAGGCCAACCATTGCAAACTCTTGCTCCACAAAAAGGTGAACACAAAATATTGCATCACAGAGATAAACTATTGCGTTCGCAAGAGCAGGCACCCCGACTAATTGCACGAGGCACAGCACGATGTATGTGATCGTTTCCAACTATTGCATGAACTATTGCGCGCACGCTTCGCGACCCCATTTCCAAAAACCCCACTAGCCCGATTATGAAAAAAAACAATCAAGATGGTTTGATCGATAAAAGAAATCGACGGGGAACCCGGAAATCCGGGACCCACCGGAATCGGCCCGGAACCAATAATCAAGAACCAAAGAACCCGGAACCCAAGGACCCAGCCCGCCACGAAAGTCGACCGGACACTTTCGCCAAAACTTGCAATTTCCGCTAGGACCCCTGCAGTGCAGGCACTGATTGGGGAAATGAATGATCCTCTTCTGGCTGTCGGGTCACATGGACCTGGCCACCTCCGACCGCCTCTCGGCGAGGCGCAGCTGCGAGCGACAGCCTTCGGAAACTGCCCGAGCACTCCATCCTTCAAGCACTCCCCTTGCGACCATCCTCCGTAAACTTGCCCATGATAAGGCAGAAGACCCCGAGGCGGGAAAACCTTACAATGTTCGCCAGCGTGGACCCTCAACAGTGTTCTGTTGCAGTCTATGCGGCGCAATCAATGTGGTGCAATCTAGGTGGCGCAATCAATGTGCTGCCATGTATGTGGCGCAAAAAATCAAAAGCAACGCATTACAATACATTGCGAAGCAGATCATTACGTTACAATGCAAAGCCATGCAAAACCACGCGCAGCAATACAAGCCGATGCAAAGAAATGCAGAGCAATGCGTTGTGCAATGCATTGCAATGCAAACCAGCGGAAAGCAACGCGGCGACGGGCGGCGACGGGCCGTGACGAGCCCACCAGACCGCAACTGGAGCCCAGCAGCGACGGCGGCGCCTTAGAGCAGAAGTGAGCCCCTTAAGTGCAAGCACTGTTTAGGCAAAGACATGCGAAGACTGGCGTGGGCGTTGCAAATAATCAGCGGACCTCACGCGCGATGGCGTTGCGAACTGTACCTAATTACGGTGGCTGACGCGGGCTGCCAGCGCGGCAAACCACATCGGAAATGAGGGCGCTAGCGCACGAACTTACGCTCGCAACTTACAGTGAACGCTTGAGTGTCAGCGCAATCAAACCCGTTTTGTTTCGTCGCTCGATCAGGGGGCCTTTTAAGCTTCAGTGGGGCATGTCTCTCTACAGGAGGAATACTCAAAAATTGTAAAAAAAAAAAAAAAAGTCTGGGGACGGAGTTTGTAGTTTTCGGGTATGTTTTGAATATGGTTGGGTTATTTTTTTATGTTTCGTCCAAACTCGGACTGTAATTAGGGGAACATGCCCGACATAGATTTAAGCAAGCCATGGACCTGATCGTTTCACGGGCCATTGAGCCGGACTGGCCA